AAAAACTACTAAAAAAAAAAGCAAAAACAAGAATAAGAAAGAAAAGAAAAATGAGACAATGGAGAGATAAAACTTGATAAGCGTTGTAGATGAGAGCTAGAAGAATTATCTCCTCAGGTTGGTCTACCTGTTCTACATAATGTTTCAACCATTATCCAACAATTTGGAGGACTTTCCCAAGAATGCATGCTTCAATCCTTCAAAAGGTGGAGATAACTCTACATGTGACATCTCCATTGAAAATGGCTTCAAATGTTTTGTATCATATAGCAACTCCTGAAAGTGTGGCTGTAAAAGTTTTTTGTGTTTATCTTGCATAACATTAAAATAGAAGAAACATCAAAATGATCATTAATAGGATAGTTTAAAAAGTCAAAATCTAAATCAGGGTCACTAAGGAGGTATTCTAAACATTCAAAATTTTCCCTTTCATATACTTCCTCAACCAATGAATCTATCATATAGGTTTGATAAGACTCATCATCATTATGTAGTTGCTTCCCAACATGAAAAATATTCACCTCAAGAGTCATACTCCCAAATGAAAGTCTCATCAAACCATTCCTACAATTAATAACAATATTAACAGTAGCAAGAAATTGTCTTCCTAAAATAAGCAGAATCTTTGACTTACTATTAACTTCAGATTGAGTATTTAAAACAAGAAAATCAACAAGATAATAAAATTTATAAATCTAAAGCAAACATCTTCCACTATCCCTCTTAGTTTCCTACAAGACCGGTCAACCAATTATAACACCACAGATGTGGGTTTTATCTCTCCAAGACCTAGCTATAAATAAATTGAATAAGGCATTAAATTCACACTTGCTCTTAAATCCAAAAGTGCTTGACCAAACTCTTGTGACCCAATTTCGCAAGCAATTGTTGGGCACCCTAGATCTTTGTGCTTTGGTGGTGTTTTTTGCTCAATCACTACCCTCATTTGTTCTGTCAAGAATGCAGTTTTCTTAACATGGTGTTTCTTTTTCATGGTGCATAGATCCTTGATTACTTTGGCATATGTTGGTACCTATTTAATCATATGCAACAAATGTAGATTAATCTTAACTTATTTCAAATGTTCTAAAATCTCACCTTGGTTGTTTGAAATCTTTTCAATCCTAAGAGCTTGAAGGAAAGGAACTCAAATTGGAACCTCTTTTTTAGGTTCTTTTAATGGGTCGTCTTCATGGCTACTTGGACTAACATCCTTCAATTGAGGTGCTTTTGGCAATGGCTCTATAACCTTACTAGTATGAGTAGTGATAATGTTGACTCCTTTTATGTTCTTCAAATTAGAGGTAGATTCTTGCATCAAACGTAAATTTTTAAGATTATATTGAGGTTGAGATGGAATCTTACCTCACTCTTGGACAGTAAGAGCACTGGTCAACTTGGTTACTTGACTCTTAATATCCTTGTTTTCTTTAACCATCTTTAACCATCTATGTAAGAACATAATCAAACTTTTGGTTAGTCTTAGTCTATGCCTCCATAAATGCCTTAAGTGTTTCCTCTAAAGAATTTCTATCTGGTCATTCATCGTATTAAGGTGTAGGGTAAGACCTAAGTAGATGAGCTTAACTATTCCAAGTATTGTTGGATGATGTGGTATGGTTCTTATTAGTTTTCCAACTAAAATTAGGATTATTCCTCCAACTAGGATTGTATGTCTCTGAATAGGGTGAAAATGGTTTCCTAACCATTCCTAATGCATTGCATTGTTCTTCGTAAACCCCTATTGTCTTACCATAGGTTAGGCAATCCTAAGCTAAATGATCCAATCCCTCACAAACAAAACATGGAGCCTGAGTTTCTACTCTAGCAATTATGTGGGTGACTATTATTTTTCATTTTTAAACTCTTAAGTTGTCTAGTTGCAGCTTCCAGTTAGGCTTTAAGGTTATCTTTCTCCCTTAGGTGGTAAATCTCAAATGATCATAACCTACTAGTATTATCAGTAGCACTAGGTCTTGTCCAAGTGTGAGCTTTTTCAACTAGCTCATTTAAATAATCTATGGCCTCTTTTGGGTCCTTATGCAAAAACTCCCCATTACACATCATCTCTAAGAATTGACACTCCTTACTAGTTAAACCCTCATAGAAATAACTAACCAACCTCCAAGTTTCATACTTATGATGTGGACACAAATTTTGTAATCCCTTAAACCTCTCCTATGCTTGGCATAAGGTTTCACTATCCTTTTGCGAAATTGTGGAGATCTGCCTTTTAAAATTATTAGTCTTGTGATGTGAAAAGTACTTGTTAAAGAAAGCTTGGGTCATCTCCACCCATGTACTTGTAGAAAAATACAACTCTTAAGCCTATAATTCCACAAATGTCAATGGTTAAGCACACTTTAAATATACATTTTCTTACTTTCATCAGGTTGTCGGCTTCATCTATGTGGAATTTGTACTCACGATTTTTATCTAGGTTTGGGTTGGGTTGGAAAATCTCGCATTGAGTATATAACAAAGAATTGTGTGGGTTAAATACAAAGAGAGTTACTCTACCTATTGCCAATTGGTTTTAGATTGTATGTAAGTTTCATGTTGAAACCCACAAACATGATTTTCACATGGTATCAGAGCCCAGGCTTTGTTCCTTCTAAATTTAATAGAAGGCTTACATGTAAGGGGGCATATTAAGCAACATGACAGCGTTGAAACCTACTTATACAATTTTCACATGGTATTAAAGCCTAAGCTTTATTCTTTTCAAAGTTAATACTGGGTCCGCATATCAAGGGGCATATTAAGCCACATGATAAAATTTGACATTCATAGCAAGCTTGCACGTGAAAGGGTGTGTTGAGTGGGAAAATTCGACATTGAGTACATAACAAAAAATTATGTGGATTAAATACAAATAGGGCTATTCCACCTATTGCCAATTGGTTTTAAGTTGAATGCAAACCTTATGTTTGCCACAAAAACAACTTTCCACAATGTCTTCCTTCTTTTAGCATGATGCAACTTGCACTACTAAATGGATAACTCATAATCCTTTACACAAATTTGATCATTTAAGATAACTTCTCTAGCAAGGAGGATGTGAAAGAAAAAGAGAAAATAGAAACGAAAGAGACATAATGATTGTGGATTATAACTGAAAACCTAGTGTGATAATTTAGATAAGGGTGCCTTTTGATATTGAGGACTACTCTTCATATTCTCTATTTTGTAGTTTAGAAGTAGGTGACAAGAAAAACCCCTTGATATTGAGGGCTACCTTTCATATTTCTTGATTTGTAGTCCAAACACCAAATTAGAAAATTGGGACTCAATGCTTAGTTTGAAACTATAGCTTTATTTCCTTTTTCAAGAAACACCCCCTCCTTTTTTTTTTTGAGAAAATTATCAAAATACGATCTATATTCATATCAACAGAGGGTAACGACATTATAGTGGATTCTTTACCTCTCAAAGAGGCAATCTAGCAAAATATTATTCTCATTTGCTATGACTAATAACACACTTGAGCACAAGGTAGATAGTTCAAATAATAGAAAAAACTAGAAAAGAAATAGCTAAATACAACAATTTGTCTAGCTACTACCTTGTCTCTCGAGCATTAGTTATACTACTATAGTACACCAAACACCAATAATAGCTCCAATGTCTTAAAATAAGGTAGAAAAACCCCTGTTTTGATTAGTAAAATTCACGTTTTCCAAAGACAAAAAGATATTTTTATGAGTAAGACCTAAAAGATCAACTATAATAAGATTAAGAAATTCATGAAAAATTACTTCCTACCTATCGAGCTTGTTAACATAAGGTCAGAGAGCAAATCCTTTTTTAAAGAGTAATTACTGGTTACCACCAATTGGGAGTATAAGAGGACAAGAGTACGAAGGAAAAATGTTGATCATAAGGTCACTACCTTAAATCGGAGGTTTGGAAGAAGCGGAGTAGTGGAGAAATCTGTTGCTAAGCAGCAAGAAGGAAAAATGGATTCTGGCGAGGATGATGGGGGAATATATGAAGTATCAAGTAGGAATGGGAGTGTGGAGGGTGTGTGCCAGATTCTGTAAATCTTGACCTGTACGGGTTGACTTGGAATTTAGGTGGACGCCACTGTTACCTCGTTCCAATTCATTCATTTGTCTGGTTGCCATTTTAATTTAGGTTAACATATTAAAATGGTCCTTTAAATTTGAATATGAATCGATATAGTCCCTGAACTCTGGAAAATGCTAGAATGGATCCTGTACAAGAATCTCCCTACACAAATGATATGATTTAGAGCAGGTACAATAAAAAATAATAAGAAAACTCCCTTTTGTGTTGCGTTACTATAATTAATATTATATTTTATATAAAATTATATTTTTTATTTTTTAAATTTTAAGTAAAATATTTAATAAAATATCTATTCTTTAATATATATATTTAAATAAAATTTTCTCAAAAAATATATTATTATTATTTTATTTAACTCATATTTTATATATTAAAAAAATTAATTAACTTAAAAAAAAAAAAGAGAAGCAGTTAGATTTCAAAATCCAATAACTTTTAAATAAGTCAATAATTACATAACATGCAGTGACACAATGTGAGCAAAAACCTACTTTGAGCCTCTCACTTTACTAAATTTGAATATTTTAGTCTCTTACCTTATACAATAATACTTTTAACCTCTCACCTTACTATATTTGTAGGTTTTAACCCTTTACCTATTAAAATTGAAGAAAATAACTCTTATTTTATACTGACTGCTTAGCTAAAAATAGCCTTTACTACATTTCTCTATTAGCTGAAAATAGATTTTTATCAACTAATAGTAAACTAATAGTTAATTAACAGAATTAATGAAATATTATAAAGTTAATTCTGTTAACTCTATTAGCTAAAAAAAAGTTTTTATCAACTAATAGTCAACTAATAGTCAGCTAATAGAAATAACAGTCAGTTAACAAAACTAATAAAATGTTACAAAGTGATGACTATTTTCTTCAATTTTAATAGATGAGGGGTTAAAAGTGTCATAATATAAGATGAGGAGCTAAAACTTACAAATTTAGTAAGATAAAGTGTTAAAAATGTTATAATATAAGGTGATGAGCTAAAATCTTCAAATTTAATAAGATAAAGGGCTAAAAGTATGCTTTTGGCACAAAGCACATGTCAAGCACTAACAAAAAAAGTTGGCCAAAAAGAACAAAGAAAGTTAAGAGAGTTTGGCTCTCTTCTTAAAAAGAGGACTACTATGTGCAGTCGCCTTTCTCCTACACTCTCCTACACTCTCTCATATAAAATGGCTATGTAATAAATTTTAGGTTAAAACCTCATTTTGGTCCTTGAACTATTGTACAAATCCCTGATTTGGTCCCCAAACTCAAAAAATCCTTAATTTGATCCTTACTACTTACCATTTATACCTTAATTTGATCCTTCGATTAAAAATCTACCCACGTGTCTGTTTACTAACAGAAACCTAATGTACACATCAAAACATTATGTCCACGTGGAAAGCCAGCTGGCAAAAAAATTAATAATTTGGCAATAAAAATTTTAAAAATTCTTTCTCCTTCATTTTTCCTCTTCCTTTCCTCGCCTTCTTCATCAATTAATTCTTCTTCTTCATCAATTAGTTCTTCCCCCTCATCAAATAACATCCACAAAAACACATAATTTCTTTTTTTATTTTTTGCCAAAAAACCCAGTGCCTAGGTTCGACGAACTCAACACTGGGTTCATCGGGTTCTAAGGAACCCTGAGCCTGGGTTCATTTGAACCCAAAGCTAGGTTCCAAGGAACCCCAAACCTGGGTTCGATGAACCCAGCGTCAAGTTCCAAGGAACCCAAGGCCGGGTTCCAAGGAACCCCGAGCCTAAGTTCAATGAACCCAGTGTCGAGTTCCAGGGAACCCAGGCATTGGGTTCAATTAAACCCGGCTCTAGGTTCCAAACCCTAAGGGGAAAGAAAAATGAAGGAGAAGAAAAAAAAGAAAAAGAAAGAATTTTTTAAGTTTTTTGTTATATTATTATTTTTTTCATGTCACTATTTTTTGCTATGTTGTCTTTCATGTAGGATAATATTTTGACATGTCATCATTTTATTGTAAATTAACAGTACACATCATGAGATTTTTAACGGAAGGACTAAGTTGGTGTAAAAATGATAAACAGTAAGGATTAAATCAGGGATTTTTTTAGTTTAGAGACCAAATTAGACATTCATACAATAGTTCAAAGACCAAAATGAGATTTTAACCTAAATTTTAACTTGCAATTCAAAGTTTCCAGTTGAAAAAATGCACGTGGCTATTTTACATGAGAAAGTGTCAAGAAAGTACAGAAAAAGGCGATTGCATTTAGCAGTCCTCTCTTAAAAATGCTCTAATAGTACTTGCGCGATAGCTTTGTTCTCCTTTTGAAGAGAACACGTAAACAAATCGTGCATTGTATTGTACATGCTCTTGGACAAAACCATAGGGTTAGAGAATGTTCCAATCTTTAATGGCAGAAGGTGCAGATCACCCCCTAAACTCACCAACTGGTGGCAAATCAACCCCTCAACCCCAACTGGTGGCAAATCAACCCCTCAACTCACCAACTGGTGGCAAATCAGCCCCTCTCTTAACCCTTCCGTCAACAGTTAACGGTCCCCTTCCACTTTGCTTAGTTATCATTTCTGCTGGTTTTACCTCGAAGCAATTCAAGAATCCAAAGTTGGGTTCTTTTTAATTACCAAATCTTTATCTGGGTTTTTCACAATTAAGTATGGAGAATGAGTTTTTCCTTAATGCAGGAACCTCGGCGCAGCCGGAGTTGCATTTTGAAACATTGTCAGTGGTGGGAATGAGCAGTTGGAGGTCTGGGATGGGAATTCAGGCAATGGAGCTAAATTGCTCTGTTGATCAGTCTGTGGACTGCGTTTTTAATCCCAATTGGGAAAAGTCAACAGATTATGGTGTCCAATTTGACTCTGCCCTGAGTTCCATGGTGTCGTCGCCGGCAGCGTCGAATTCGAATATTCCCCATGAGAGCTTCGTGATCATGGAGTTGATTGGGAAATTGGGGAACATTGGTAACTCCGGAGAGATCTTGCCGCATTCTCAGCCGTTGTTCGCTTCTTACATTAATGGCAATAACAGCACCAACACTTCCTGTTATAGCACTCCCCTGAATTCCCCTCCTAAGCTGAACGTGCGGGTTGTGGACAATTTGGTTAAAGACAAGCTACCCAGTTTGGGAAAATCAATGCCCATGAATTCCAGTGTGGCTGATTTCTCCGCCGACCCCGGATTTGCAGAGAGGGCGGCGAGGTTCTCCTGCTTCGGTAGCTGGAGTTTAAATGGCCGGAAGAGTTAATTCGGGGTGAACAACAACGAAGCTCCTTACCGATCTAATCCGGTGATGGATAACAGTAAGGTGTCCCGCGTTTCAAGCAGTCCCTCTCTCAAGGTAATGGGAACACAAGGTGGCGGAGTTCAGGGGAACAAGAATTCCCCATTGCAGGATCGGTCCGAAGCTGCCAATTCCCAAGAGGAATCCACAGTTTCCGAACAAAACCCCAATGGAGATTCTGGCATCAAAGCTGCAAACGATTCGAATTCAAGGAAAAGAAAAGCAGCATCAAAAGGGAAAGGAAAGGAAACTTCAGTATCCCCATCACCAAATACTTATACAAAGGTAACAGTTAAAACTCTCCCAACTTTATATTTCTGCTTCTGTAGAGATTCTAGGTTGAATATTTGTCAAATTATCCCATTTTCAGGTATCTGAAACTAATGAAGATTCAAATCCCAAGCGATGCAAGCAATCCGAGGACGAAAATGGTCCTACTAAAGCTGAAGAAGAAGCGAAAGGTAGTAATGTGGATGAGAAACAGAACAAGGCTAACACAAAGCCTCTTGACTCCTGAGCCTCCAAAGGACTATATTCATGTTAGAGCAAGAAGGGGTCAAGCCACCGACAGCAATAGTCTAGCTGAAAGAGTGAGAAATCACAATTCAATCAGAACATTGAAGTATTCCAGATTTTGTATTGAAAACTGAATCTATGTTAATATTCATCAATCGGACAGGTTCGAAGAGAGAAAATCAGCGAAAGAATGAAGCTTCTCCAAGATCTTGTTCCCGGTTGCAAACAACCCCTGATGAGCAAACCGTTAAATGTTAACGGAAAGGTTAAGAGAGGGGCTGATTTGCCACCAGTTGGTGAGTTGAGGGGTTGATTTGCCACCAATTGGGGTTGAGGGGGTGATTTGCCACCAGTTGATGAGTTTAGGGGGTGATCTGCACCTTTTGCCATCTTTAATAGACTGTTTTTAAATTTTTTATTATTTAATTATATAATTTATCATTTAATATTTTAAAAAATCTATTAAAATACTTTTTTGGGATTGTTAAAAGTTCAAAAAAATAATATTCTTAAGGTATCAGCATACAAAAAATATTTTTAATATATTTCTACAATGCAAGACCACAAATTGACCAAAGATAGCGAGATAGAATTCACAAATAAGCCAACAACCAGCACAGCCTCGTCCCCCTCTTACCTGATTCTATAAACACCCATTTTCCTCCCTGCGAAACAGCCTTTAATACTCAACTATAAGAGAAATGTTGAAGTTAAAACAAATCAAAATAACAAGACGACCCCAGCAATCACAAATAATCGGAATATACAAAGTCAATCAAGTGAATCTCCCACTTCTAACAAGCGAGCAACAATTATTTGCCTAAAGCTTCTCCTCCTTTTTCCCAGCGTTTTGCCTGCTCTGTAGAATACTATTGATCAAATATTAAGTAATGGTATCAGCAAGCCAACTGGAAATTATTAGCATGCAGTCGAAAATGATAATTAAAAGCAATAGAACAGATTATACGTACATTTTTGGGAGATGGAATTGAACAAAGTGGAAGATGAGCAATCATTTCCTGGTAGGCACACGCATCTTTTTCTATCAACTAAACTATACCATTAAGAACAAGCACTTTCCCACAGGTGGAACACTGCAGAAAATAATTTACATCAATCAATTTGCATATAAGATACGTCAGTAAGACAATCACTGATGTACGGATATAGTAAAGAAGGAAAACTAAGATGCAGAGAGAACTCCAAACCTCAAAAACAAATCTCTTGGTAGTTGGACTTCCTCCTAAATAAAATGTTTTCAACTTTCAGAGAATGTGCTTTGCCTGCAATCAAAACTCAAACATCAACCAGAGATGAGGTGCAATAGAATCAAACTAACAACTATCTTGGCTTCTTAATTCACAGCTATAATAATTTCAAATTAGCATTGAATAGTCATTATCTTCTCTCTGATATAAGACGAGCACCAGAAATTATAAACAGTATGCAGTACCGTAACTTTGCTTAAACCACATGGTGAAATGTACATGAAAAGATGCTAAGGTAATTAACTCTGCTCAAGATCTCCTATTTATTCTTACAAGACGGTAAAATAAATAAATAAATAAATTTGCTAAAGTAATTGTGGTCTGATTAATATTCATGAAATTCTCAAGGATTATAGCCAGATGAACAATTATACATACACTCAAAAAGTCAACACCCATTTCAACACCCAAAGCTAAAATGAAGAGGGGTAAATTTATAATTTTACTGTTCATAAACTTTGGGTGTTGAGATGAGTGTTGATTTTTTGAGTATATGTATAATTGTCCTAGCCAGACACATTCTAGGGTGATAGTTAAAATGATATTGAGCAGAGAATGTATTTATGAATTTAAGGCTTAACAGGCCACATACGATTGTTGAAGTAAAGTTTTTTGCTAGCAGTATCTATGACAGACAAAAACCAGGAAGAAAAAAATGCGATTAAGAACACTAACCTTAAAAATCATACTAAATAATTTGAATGATTAAAGCAAGCACAAAGAATAATAGTAAAAAAAGGAAAAAACAAATATAAGATAGTGACGACAAGGAGCTGAGATTATGAGAACCTCCCAGAAACAACAGTAGAATGCCATTTTGTGTCAACCTCAGGGACTGAAGGCCTAGCCTTCAAGCAACAAGAAGGAATAGCCTTCTCAGAATCATTCCCGTCACTCGCCTTCACAACCATAATCTTCTGGCATTCCAAATCTCTTCCTACGCCGTCCTCCATATATTTTCCTTTTCTTCTCCAGCTTCAGCCTCTACATGAAAACAGACCATATGTAAGGAACGCTAACAAAGAAGAGAGTCTTTAATTAATAAATATTTTTATTTATTTATTTATTTATTTGTTAAGAACCCAAAAAATTGTAAATCATGCGTAGGTTGCTTCAAGTTCACACATTCATCTACCATCATAAACTAATACTAGAGAAAACTTTCTAATGGTATAAGGCAAAAGGTTTAAAAACGCGGGGAAGTACAACACTTGGATGAAAAAAAGCAGAAGATTCTTCTGATGTCTTTGCCGATGTTCATGATGAATGTCCAACAATAGAAAAATGATAAATCTATAAAGATGATAACAAATAGGAAGTTGAGAACATAAATTAAGTGAAAAAGGATAATCAAAACTTCTTGCTATTTAAAATGGTAGAATGTTTAATTATAATTATTAAACATGTGACACATAGTATAAATCTTAATTTTATCAGATTTATCATATAATTATTATTAAATGTCATGGTATTTCTCTTTTCTCATAAATTAGAAACGCAAAAAAAAAAAAAAAAAAAAAAAACCCTTATGAACTGCGTTCATAGCCTTTTAAAAGGTCTATTTTATAAGTAAAACCATTATCAGAAGCTCAAAGTTTCACTCTTTGAGAAAGAATACAATATGCACCACTAATTCTGGAACACATTAATTAGGGTTAATGCTATCTATCCTCCCTCTACTATAAAAAAATAGTGCAATCTAAACCTTCTACTATGGATTGGCTCCATATCGTCCCTCTACTATTAATTAACTTCACCTATCGTCCCTCTACGATGCAAAAGAATGCCAATGTCGTCCCCTCATCAATGTAAGCTAATGGTGCTCTTTATTGAGAGTTAAGTGTGACGGTCACACCGATTAGGCCTTTTTCAATCTTTTCTTTTTTGCCACCTTACCTTGTGGGACCCACCTTGCACGCATCATCTCTAACAAAATTTTTTTGCCTTACCGCTGCCTCCCTAACATGGATCCTGCGGGCAGGTACTTTGGAATTTACAATGGGTAATTTTCAAATAACAAAATATGAAAATCCCATCATTTGAGAAGACAA